CCCGGTGGCTTCCCAGCTAAGTCGCTCGTACAACACCACCTCCCCCTCCGACCCCACCGGTACGGCCAATACCGTACCACCGTCCGGGTGCCAGGAGGGGGTGTGACGGCGGGGGGAGGAGTAATCAACCTGCCGACAGGGCCGAATGAAAGTGTATTTCTGTATGTACATATGTACGTATGTATGCTTCATCGGGTATAGGTATGTGTGTATTGTGTGTAAATGCATCTGGGTTATGTGTGACTTCTTAGCACATGGGGGGGAGGGGGCCACATGACCTCGAGGCCATCAAAACACACGCACGCACGCATTGGGCATCAAAACACAATGAGAGAAAACAACAACAAACAACCGCGGGGGGGGGGCGGGGGGGGGGAGGGGCGCACCCTCTCGCACAGGAGCTCCACTCGCTTCTCCAGTCGGCCGTTACTAGTGTCGTACAGCGCGAGTCCGCCGCTGCGTTGTACGACAGCCAGGTAGGTACCTTCGGGGTCCCAGGCCAGAGACAAAACGTAGTCCTCACAGGATAGGCTGCGGTACACCTGCCGTACCGTAAAGTGTCGTACAAGCGGGGCACGCGTGTCGTACATGTGCAAATGTGCAAAGGCTCTTCTCTAGATGCGGACAATTCTCCTCCTGGATGGAAGTGATGCTCCTCTGCTGGCAGTGCCGCCCCGGACCTCTCCTCCCCCTTCCTACTTCTCTGATGTGTCAGTCATCCTCCTTGGCATCAGCTTCACTCCTTCACGCAGTTCGTCTTCCCCCCCTCTTCCTCCACCCACCCCCCAGCGACCCCGGTGGTCCCCCTCCTTCTCTCCCTCTCCCTCTCTCTCTCACACACACACACACACTTCCCCATAAAACTCTCACCCTCTGTCGCTCTGTATTGCTCTTATGACATGACGTGTTTGTGGACACGAACCTTATTCCCGAGTCCTTCCTCCTCCTCCCATTCCTCCCCCCCCTTCCCCCTCACCGTGCCGTCCTTCACATCCACCAACTTAATGAGGCTGTCATCGCCACCGGCAGCCAGGCGGAGGCCATCCGGACTGAAGCTCAGAGCTCGCAGGGTCAGGTTGAAACGACACGCGACCCGCTCCAGGGAGAGAGAGGGGAGCTTGTGAAGCTTGGGGGAAAGGGGTATTGCAAAAGGTTTTTTAAGGGGGTGGGAGGGGCCGGGGGTTGGTCCGAAGATCTGTACGACATGCTGATGCCGTACGGTGTGGTTCAAGTTGGTTAGGCCAGGGGGCAAGGATCTTGCTGGAGTGCTTTTTCATTCGTTCGTTTTTTGTAGGCAGAATATTGTCAAGGACCTGCTTGCTACAAAGCGAGGATGCTGCAACTGGCGATGTCCTGAAAGGGTGTCAAACAGCCCGCTCATACCTTGACATACTGGTCGTCGCCTACTGCAACGTATTTGCCTTTCGGGTCGACTGCGAGGATGGTTGCGGGCGGCGTGTCCACTTTGGCGACTTGCTGGGGCTCCAGGGTGAGCGAGTCGCGAAGGAAAACCTTCCCATCCGCGCCAACAGTTGTAAGATATAAATCCTTTGGAGTGGGTGCGTATGCTACTGAAGCCTGCCCAGGGCCGTGCCCTGGTGTGAGCTTCAGCGTCACATCCTTCATGTTATGATGGTCGCGCCAACAGCACCCTAGAAGCCGCAGTCAATTAGATTAAAAAAGAATTATCTGACCTCCTAATTTGCTGTACTCTTCTGCACGGTCAATCGGTTTAATGAAGGAGCTGTCGAAGTACTTCCTTTGCAATCTCGGAACCAGAACTCAGAAGTCGCAAAATTCACTCATCTGGAGTGCGATTGGAGATGTGTTGGAAAGTGCCAAATCGGCAGCAAAAAGACTGCTACCCTGCAACTTTCCCGCCGTTTCTCTGCAGCTCGTCCTCGCACGACACGGTCACCGGTTTAGTTCCCAGCTAAAGTGAACTATACACCCACCGTAGCTACATTTTAGTAATTGATCGCTGTGGTATTTTTGGCCCAGAAACCCAAGCCTCGTCGAGTCACTTTTTGCAACAAACGAGGCTTGGGATGGCCGGAACTGTCAAATTTAGATGATCAAGTGACTGTTTCGGCAGCACTTGCGCGGCGCACCCACCGCGTCACCATGCATAAAGTTATGCATGGTGTCATTATGCGTTGTTGCCGGGGGTCTCCATTCGAACGCAGACGGGCCCTCTGTCATTTTACTGCAAAAGCGCCACCGCACTTCGCCCCTGAAGCAGAACATGCAATTGCAGTTTCTAGAGCTTGAGCTCGAGCCGCTTGCCTAAGCTCTGCCAGACGAGTTAGCTGGCTCTGGTCGAAGCTGGCTGGGACTGCACCTTTGAGGGCGACATAGGTGACAAGGCATGTAAAGACAAGTGCATGACAGCAACCCCCCTAAGTGCCCAACAGTCCACAAGAGCCTTTATAGCTAAGCTGGCCGGACTTAGTGTTACAAGTCATGCAAAATGCGCCGCGCGACGTTGTTCGGGCTGCTGCATGTGCAAGTGCCATCGCTAACCAACAGCCGTGCGCCCAGCGGTGCCACTCCGAGGCGCAAGCCGTATGGGAATACTGCCGGGATATGCGGGGGTCACTTCTGCAGGAGGCAGTAGCAGACGTTGCCTGGGGGGACGAAATCATGCTGTACGGCTGGCGTGTGCCTTCCGGTGCCAGATTACGGTATGGAGCACTGTGTCCAAGTTAGGCACAAGCACGCCGACGGTGACGCCCGCACTGTACCACAACGTCCCTTCCTTTGTAACCTGTCATTCATCTCCCAGTCCAAAGGCCCTCACCCGCTCCACAACTACGCAAAATTTAGGGGCGAGCCGCTGTTGCTGCGTAGCAGTCGGGTGTGGGGTGTTGAAGCTGTCAGCGAACGTCACCAACGCGGTACGTAGCACTTGTGGAATCAGAGAACTGGGCTTGTTTTAGAGTTTTGGACTTGCGGCATTCAAAGTGTCCATTCAAAGTGTCCAGGTTGTACGCCTGCAGTTGTACGGGCGGTTGTACGGGGCGCAACTGTCCAACAATTGAGGATGCAATGAGCGTATTTGCCCTCGGCCTAATTGAAAGGGAACCAGGCCGCTCCTAACAACTGGGAAGCGTAAGCTGACTTTACTGTCCGATATACTTGCGTAGGCACAGAAGATCGGAGTATCAACCTCAACTTAGACTTACAATGTTCATAAAATGGTCCGCTTAAATAGTCATATTAGCGCGCCATAACCTCTCACGTAGTACACACAAGTTCAAGCTCCACTAGCTCCGAAGTTAAGACATGGTCTCAGAAGCGCGCGCTAACGAACTGCAAAACATTACACATTCCCCTCCTTAAAAACAAGCACCGTCCTCGGTGCGAAAACGTCATTAAGCGGCCATAGTCGTGCGCCTCTCCGATTCCCTTAACGAAATCGGTACCAGGCTAACGAGGGGAAGGCAAAAGGGAACCGGAGTCAAGGCAAAACCTTCCCCGCACTGGATACTGGCCTAAATAAGGCGCACCACACCTACCATATCCGGCTTAAGAATACGGAGACACACACAAGCTGCTACGAAAACGTTTATAATCTGACTACACGGAATCCAAATACCCATACGCGAACAAACACGTTAAATGCAATACCACACTGAAGTTGAACTGACTGGTGTAATCTACCGGCAGGAACAGAACGAAGACGCACAGACATACCGAATACACATGATGACACACACACACATCCATCCGCAGCTCTATTCTGCTAAGAACTGTACGATCCTTGGGGCATGCTCCGGGAACTTGGCTCTGAACCACGCATAGCGATCTGATAGCCTGAACGCGGTCCAGCTTGGGCTCCTCAGGAAGGTTCGAAGCGCTGGCAGGTTGTGCACGTCGTCGTATGGCTCCCACGAGGGGTCACGTTTACTACTTGTGGACCACTGCACGAGGAACATGACGGACGGGCGTGCACGCTTGTTGTACCCTAGGCGAACAGCTGTAACAACGGTATCTGCACTGTCATATGGGGATCCTAGTGCAGTAGGGGCTGCAGGTGGAGGTGGTGGGCGGCCGGGAAAGAGCGCTGGATCGTTATCCGTCCAGGGGAGAAGGCGGCTGATGTGGAATACTGGATGCAAGCGGCCGAGGGAGGCTGGAAGATGAAGGCGGTATGCAACTGGAGAAATGACGGAGATGAGGAATGGGCCAAGGTAGCGTGGGCGGAGTTTTGGGGAGGGGTAGGTCGGCAGGGTGAGGTGTTCTGTGGACAGTCATACGCGATCGCCAACTTTGAAGGTGATGGAGCGGCGGTGCTGGTTAGCTGCGGCAGAATAGCAGGCTTTGGCGGCTTGGATCTCGCGGGTAATAGTGGCGTGGATGTCGCTCATACGCTGCTGTAGCTCTGTAGCCTGTGGGTGTGAGGAAGGTGAAGCGGCTTGGGGGCCGTGCGGGCCATGTAAGGCCACCAGTAGCGGGTGGATATCACCGCGAGGGTGTGATGGAAACCAGGGTGACCAGAGTAAGCAGCATCGTGGAATTCGTGAAGTAGGCGGCGGCATAAGGATGGAACGTTAGGGATGGCGATGTGGTTGGCGAAGTTGGAGGTATGGTTTGGTGGTTGTTGGATTGGAGTACATAGGGTCGGCAGCGTATCCGGAACGGATGTCGTCAGCAAGGCTGGGGTCTGGAACGACATGGGCTGCGATGGTAAAACAGGCGTGATGGAGGGCATGGTTGGCTGCAACGTCGACGGGTGGTGAAGTGGAGGGCCAAAGTGGTGGAGGCGACGGAGTTGTAATGGAGGTCAGGGTTTCTGCTGATGCAGTGGGTAGTGAGGGGCTGGGGTCAGAGGGCTCTGGGTTAGGGGCTGGGCTGACCGGAAAGCGGGAGAGGGCGTCAGCCATGTTTTGAGGGCCGGGGCGATAAGTGATTGTGATGTAGCCTTGGAATGGGGCGAGGAGCTGAGCCCAACGGGCTTGACAACGAGACAGGTCCTTTAGTGTGAAGAAGCGTTGCAAGGTGTCGTGGTCTGTGCAGAGCGTGAAGGGGCAGCCTTCGAGGTAGCACCGAAACTTACGCACTGCGTGTACAACAGCAAGCAACTCCAGCTCGTGGATGGGGTAGTAGGCTTCGTGATGGCTGAGCTTGTGGGACTCGATCGCCATGGGATGTAGGGCGCCGTTGCGTTCTTGAAGGAGCACAGCACCAATGCCGAGGATGGAGGCGTCGGTATAAAGAGTGAAGGTGGCGTTGGTGCCGGTGTCTGGGATGATGAGGGCTGGGGCTGACATTAGGGCGTCGTGGAGGGCATGGAAGGCGGCGACGGCGTCGGCGGGTAGGGTCTTGGGGAAGGGCTGGGTTGTTTTGGTGAGGGTCGTAAGAGGGAGGGCGATGCGGGCGTAATCTTTAATGAAGCGGCGGTAGAACCCAGTGAAACCTAGGAAGGCGCGAACGTCGGTGATGGAGGAGGGAATGGGAAAGTTGGCCAGGGCAGTGAGCTTGTCAGGGTCTGTCGTGATGCCGTCACGGGAGATGATGAATCCGCAGAACTTGGTGGATGGTTGTGCGAAAGAGCACTTGGAAAGGCGGACGTGGAGGTGGTCTTGTAGTGTGCGTAGTACAGCTTCCACATCGCGGCAATGTTCTTCGAAGGTGCGGGAGTATATGAGGACGTCGTCAAGGTACACGACCGCACACTTGTTGCGGAAGGGTCGAAGGACGTCGTTCATGAGGGACATGAAGGTGGCGGGGGCTCCTGTAAGTCCGAAGGGAAGAACAAGCCATTCGTACAGACCATACTTACACCGAAAAGCCGTTTTATGTACATCGGGTTCGTGCACTCGGACTTGATGGTAGCCTGACCAGAGGTCCAACTTGTAAAATAGGCTGCACCGTGCAGCTGGTCAAGGAGCTCGTCCACGCACGGCAGGGGATACGCATTCTTGACTGTGAGCTGGTTGATTGCGCGAAAATCCAGAGGCGTAGACCGTTGCCACCAGGTTTACGGGCGAACAGAATAGGGGCACCAAAGGGTGACGTCGATGGGCGAATCCAGCCACGGTCAAGGTAGTTCTTGAGCTGCTGGTCCAGCTCTTGAAGTTCCACTGGGGACATGCGATACTCGCGCTGCTTAGGAGGCTGGGCGTCGGGGACCAACTCGATATGGTGGTCACATGGGCATGATGGTGGTAGACCAGATGGTTCTTCGAAGATGGTCGCGTAGTGCTGGAGAACAGACTGAAGGGCTGGTGGTACTGATGGGGAGGAGGTGGGTTGAGGGGGGGCTTAGGGGTCGATTTCGGGATCTTCAATGGGACGGAGGACACCCATGTAAACAGGTGGTGATGGGTTGAACGGAGCTCGCTTGCGAGGGTTGGTGGTGTTGGGTGGTGGCGGTCGAGCAGCAGCTTGGCGAATGCATTTCTGCATGCGGGCGATGGGAGATGAATTCAATCTGTAAGGCGGATGGGCAATACGAGGAATGTGGGATGACGGTGTTGCCGATGGTGACGGTGTTGGTACGCCAGTCAATATGGGGGTTGTTGGTAGTAAGCCAGGGTTTCCCAAGGATGGCGTCGTATCCGTCAAGGTCGAGGGTGAAGAAGGTGGTGCACTCATGGTGTGATTGGATGGCCAAGGGGGCGTTGGGAAGGGTGGAGGAACAGAGGGCGAGGTGTCCGTTGGCCAAACGAACGCGAAACAACTGCGATGCTGGAAGGTCGGCGGAGTGTAATTGGTGATGTTGAAGGAAGGAGTGGGCGATGAAGTTGCGGGAAGCACCAGAATCCAGGAGGACTCGGGCGGGGTGGCCAGCTATGGTGGCATCGAAGACGATAAGGGTGGTGGAGAGATTGTCGGTGACGGACGCAATGGAACCCATGATAGGCGGGATGAAGGGGCATTCCACCGTAGACCTTTGTTCGTCTATCTGCGGAAGTGAAGCTTGAGGAGCATGGTGGGGATGGGGGGTGGGACGCTGTACGGGGGATGAAGATGGTTGGGCTGGCTGACTGACGGTTGGTGGAGGCGGAGGTGGGTAAGAGGCAGTGAGTGTTGGAGTTTGCGAGAAACGAGCGATAAGATTAGCGACATTAGAACGTGGTGGTGGAGGGCGGTCCGATGGCTGGGGCGGCGGTGCGGGATGTGAGCTGGAAAAATGTTGGATGAGAGTTTTGACCGACGATGTGGATGGTGTTGACGGATGTTTGGTGGAAGCGAATGATGGATGGGACGAGGTGGGGATGGGATGAAGGGTGGTATCGGGAAGTAGGGTGGCGGATGTAGACGCTAGAGTGAAGGGGGTTGACGATGGTGGATCGTGGAGGCTACTAGAGGCCAAGGGCTGGGACCCGGTTTTCCATACCTGGATGGGTCTGAAGTGGTGGGGCAGCAGACGATCTGTGCGCCAGCAGGGAAGCGGCGGACGATGGTCATGTGGCGGATGAGGGGGGCCCAAGGGGCTTGTGGACGATCAGGTAGGACAATGATGGCAGAGGTGCTGGGGTTGGCGGTCTTGGCGTCGAGGTAGCGGGCGACGATGGTGGAGGCGTTGTCGACAGGTGGCACCATCCATACGCACTCTCCTTCGATGTCGGTCGATAGGAAAGGTCGGGACGGTGAGAAAAAGGGTGAGAGCTGTGCAGTTAAGCCGAGGTCATCACAGTAGGCATCGACGGTAAACGGGTCGTACTGTGAATCGTATTCAAGAAAAAATGATCGTGCGATTTTCCAATCGTTGCTTGCCTGGCATGCTCCCTTCGATGTCGAGGCTGCAGCTGCGCAAGCACGCTTGCGGCCAACACGGCAGGCAGGCTTACGGACGATTTGAGTGAGACAGGAAACGTTGAACGCGGTTTCGGACGAGTGCACAGCAGACGACGTCGGCAGGCTGTGGCTGACCGTTTCTGCCGACGACGGCCTAAGGGCCGATTTAACGAGGGCCTGGGGAGCGGGAGCGGGTAGGGGATTTGTCGCTGATGTACTTGGAGCGGCGGCCGTGGGAGCTGTTGCTGGGGCAGGAGGGAGAGCGACCGCGATGGCTGTGGTTGTTGTCATATTGGCGGTGGCTGTGTGATCGTCGATCCTCGGAGGCGGAGGACGCGGAGGAGCGGGAGAGCAAGCGGGCAGGCGAGCGGGCAGGCGAGCGTGGTGGCTTGCGGCTGTTGTTAGCACCCTGAAAGGAGTGCCGGCGGGAGGAGTTGGGCTAGGAGATGGTGGTTGCTGCCAGGAGGCGACGAAGCTCCGGGCAGTGTTCCTTGGAGTTTGACTCGTCACCGCACTGAAGGCAGACGTGCTTGGCCATGCGCTGGAGGCGCAGGTTGTAGGAAACCCTGATGGTTTTGACGCCGCTCGGGAGAGGTGGTCTGCTGTGGTGCGGCGTGGTGGTGTAGACGTCGGCGGTGAGGTCCATAGGTTCATCCTGGCGGACGTCTCGGGAGCTGCGTGGCGCGGTGGTGTAGTCGATAAGATGTGCGTTGTGGCGCCCGGAAAATATGCCCATCGCCAAGTCGATGATGGTTTGAAGGGTCACGTCGGTGCCGTACTGAGGAAGCCTTGTGTAGACTTCCTCGCGGAGGTCCCTGTTGAGACCTTTGGCGAAGTGGAAGACGTGATCGAGTTCATGACGGTGAGGGAGGTCGCCCATGAGGCGTCCGAAGGCGGCCACATACGACACCAGGGAGTTCGGACCTGAGCCCTGTCGAATGGTGTCCATGCTTATCTGTGCATTGAGGAGGCGATCGGGTCTCGGCGCGAGGGGTGTTAGCGCTTGTAGGACCGCAGTTAAGGAAGTAAAGGGGGAACGTTGGTGGCGTAGGAGGAGGGTGTCTAGGGTCGGTCCTTCGATGGCGGAAAGGGCGATGGCGACAGCAGGCGCACTGTCTTCATGCAAGCCGCATACCGTAGGCACAGAAGATCGGAGTATCAACCTCAACTTAGACTTACAATATTCATAAAATGGTCCGCTTAAATAGTCATATTAGCGCGCCATAACCTCACACGTAGTACACACAAGTTCAAGCTCCACTAGCTCCGAGGTTACGACATGGTCTCAGAAGCGCGCGCTAACGAACTGCAAAACATTACACTAATGCAAGTTCGCTTTAAGCTGAGGTAGTACACTGATATCAGTGTCTTAATTTCCGATTTAATTGATGACATTTCTAAACAATATATTACATGGAAGCAATCCTTGCAGACCCCCGCTTTGAAGACTTCATCAATCGTCTAATAGACCAGCGAGTTCCGCAGCGGATCACCAGTGCGCTCGTGCCTCAGCTCCGGTGCCTAGCCAACCAGCTGTTCCTGCAGTGCGAAGCAACCTACTCGGGAGCCAGTAGCCGAGGTTTTACGCTGCCACCATCGCCGGTAGCGCCGATGATCTCAGCGTGGCCGGAGAGCAAGGAACGCTGGTTGGGCCTATGCCAGCGTTTCCCAGGCCTCGGGGGGACGTTCGCCACCTTCGACCAAAACTGCAGAGAACTACGTCTCAACAGGAACGAGGAGCAGCATGTCGAGGCGGTAGAAGACGTCCTGCAGACTCTACACCTCCTCGCCCCGGATTACGACCAGCAGCGGCTTCAGGAGATCGACCCCTTCTTGCATGCAGTGGTCAGCAGCGCAGATGAGATTGTGGCGCAGTTTCTGGCTGCACCGCGGCTGTTGAAGCTGGCGCAGGTGACTCTGCAAATTTGCAAGGACCGCCTGGACTACCACCCTGTGGAGACCTGGATGTGGCAGAAGCCCAAAAACCGTGAGAAGGTGAACCTCTTTATCTCCATGGCCCTTCAAGAGGTGCCGGCCCTTAGAGAGGTCGCTCTTTGCAACGACTTGTCAGATTTCGCCGCGTCCGCTGACGCGGTGTTTGAGAAGGCTCGCGACTTTGGGCCAACGAAGCTCTCCTATCCACTAGACGAGCTTCAGGGCCGCATTCACCGGTGCCTAGACCTTGGCATCCTGCAGTCCGTTCAGGCCCAGCACCCCTTCGCGTACGCCGTTGTCACAAACCTGGACACCATCCTGTCGATTGAATTTTGAAGGTATGTCCTGGATATGCGCTCCTGTGCCGGTGCTCTCTGCCGGGAATTACTGTGTAAGCTGTGTCAAAAAGCCGACCCAGACCTGATTGCTTGGTAGGTTTTGCCGCCTCAAGGTAGCGAGGCAATAAGCAGCTTTGTCTAAATGCATTACAAACCCCTTGCTTTTGCCCTCATGTCATCCGTGCGCCAAGTCGGCCGGAGGCTTCGACAGGAGCGGCGACGCGTCTTAGATACCTGTACAGCCAGGTCACGAACAGAAGAATGATGCCGGATGGATGTCTGTGGACGGTGTATCAAAATTCATTTCATTACACGTGGCTCTGCAAGCTGGTCACCGCCCCTGTCTGGGCGCCCAGGCCTGGGCGCCGTGTCCGTGGCGCTGCTATTTTTTTTCTGAGCGTAGCTGTAAGTATTCGAGTGCCGCTTGATACGCTAATCCCCAACATTATGGACAGAACGACAACCGGCAGCCAGTCGATGACGGCCAACGGCTACGGTCCTTGTACGTGATGGAAATGTTCTCTTTGCGGACGCCACTCACATCAGATACAACAACGTACGAGCTGTCGTCCTCCAGTATATCTCGTCCATCCTGGTACATCGACGGACGATCACCGCTGCCGCTCCCATGACTGTACGTCGGCTGCTGTAATGTGGCGGCGGCGGTATTAATAGCATCATCATGGGGGTCATGATGATAGGGCGGCCACGCGTTTGCTGCCGCGGCAGCAGCAGCATTTGTATTGTTACTCGTATTAGTAGTGGTGGTGGTAGTAGTTGTAGCAGCAGTAGCAGTAGTGGCGGTGGACGCGTACACTTCTGCCAAAATCTTGGCTAGCGTGACAGCAAGGGGATGCGCGTTATGTTGCCCCTCTTCGCCTCCTCTTCCTCCTCCTTCTCCTCCTCCGGTATTCGCAGAAGAAGTGGACGATGGTGCTTGAGGGTATAGAGGTGACGCCACGAGTGACGATACCAAGCAACGGAGCTCGCTGCCTGAAGCATCCTCATCCCTGTCGGGCGGTGAAGGCTACGGCGGCTGCTGGTACATGTGACGATGATGATTATGATGATGCCATGTAGGGACAGCACCGGTTGCCGCTGCTGCCGGATTGGCGGCAACATGGGCACCTGCATTCGCACCGAACGCATTCAATGCCGTGCCGACCATGCTCAACAGATCATCGCCATCAAAGTTGAACGAGCTAGATATGTGGTGGTGGTCCCCGACGTTGGGCGAGAACCAAGCGTGCATTATTGCTGCTTGATTAGCTTGCTACTGTGCGTGTGGTGGATGCGGGTGCGGAATGCGTGCCGTGTGATGGCTTGGCTAGACAGTACATGGGATGATATTTTTAGGTTGCAGACGCGCACACGGCCTTTCCCTCCCGATGGCTTTAGACCCTCTTAGCACTCTGGGCTGTGCCTACATCGACATCTGGGGCACAGTCTATCTTTACAAGCATACATCTACAGGAAATGGACCCCTGTTACCGGTATATATGATACCTGGGACTGCACCTTTGAGGGCGACATGGGTGACGAGACAAAGTCCATGACAGCAGGCCACACGAGCCTTTATAGCTAAGCTGTGCTGCTCTTTGCCGACCCGTGCTGCGCGAATCCGATGATTAGCCCGGGTGAGCTCCTTAGGAGACAGATGCTGCAGGACGAGGACTTCAGATCGGACAGTCCAGTACTACTTCACCGCCGTCTACATTGACCCTCGTGCGTGCTAAAGCTGCTCTTGTCGGGTCGCGATGACGAGGGAGCTCTCGCGGACAGCTCGGGCTGTACGGCAGCGGGTGGCGGGGCGGAGGTGGCGCAGGAGGATCCCTTCGAGGTGCCGCCGGGGGTCGGACCCGAGGGGGGCCCACTCGCCCCCGTACCCCGTATCAGGTGGGTTTTAGGTGGGTTTTAAGGGGGTTTAGCCGTCAATATCTTATTTGGGCGCCGCGACGCACAACAGCTGAAATTTTATATAAAAGTTTTTTATTGCTTTTTATCGCCATATCGTCACATCTTCATCGTACCTAAACAGGCTCGGGCCCCGGCGCTTCGTGGTGATTGTTGAGGCCCCGCGAGCAGTCCACCCCAGCGGCGTGCAGCACCTGACGGCGACCGCCGCCGCCGCCTCGTCATCAGCATTGTCAGCATCAACAACCAGCGGCGGCTGTGGCGGCGGCGGGGCAAGAGACAGCTCTCCGGGGGGACGACTTGGCCTGGTTCCGGAGCAGCTGGTAGTGGAGGCCTTGGCCCGGCGGCCTCATCTGCTGCGTCGCTGCGATCTGGCTGCTACAGCCGCTGATGCGGCGCTGTCGGCTGTGTTCATGTGTATATATGTGTGTTTGTAAAGAAGTACGAAACTAAGGACACAGGAGAGCCTCATCATTATAATTTCACCATTACGTCAGGCGGATCGGGACAGTTCGTACTCAGCCCGGAAATCAAACGTGTACTTTGTGTTTTCGGCTTGCACCATAGCACGACAAGGCCGTAGCCAACAGCAGCAGCAGTAGTAGCCGGACATAAAAATGTTGGAACACGTGCAAGGAGGCCTTACATGTACGATGATGGCCATCACCAGCTGGCTAGTGGAACGCCCTCTACCGCCGTACAGTTACCAACTACTTTCAACATCACAGCTAGCCAACGAATGCAGATATGCAGGCATATGGCTGAGGGCAGCCTCAGAGATATAATCACCATGACAAAACAAAAAGAGGGACTCGCAGAGGCACATAGGTGATTTCCTTGCGTGCGCAAACGGATCCGTACTGGGTTCGAACGTGAACATGCTTTGGGGACGGAAATTGGACGCTTTGCCGTCCAAACGGTGTTCCCCGGGCCCTCTTCCTCCCTGCCTATTCCACGCGCGTGCACACATACACAGATACACACAGCGGTATAGGGACACACACACGCATAGAGGTAGAGCTACATGTGGGTCGCGCGCCCTCGGTCGAGGAGGAGGGTAGTGTGGGGACCCCTCACGCCCCTCTCCTCCCGCCGCTATGGGGAGAGTGCTTCGGCGTTAACCGTTACCGTTGGGTTACGGTTAGGTGCCCCAGGCCAGTGTCAGTCCCGGATCGACGTGTAACAGAAACACACACACGCGCATGAAAAAAAGACGGGCTTTTGGCAAAAGATTAGATGACTCATTAGAAAAAATGGACAGTAGAAAGCACATGGTCGTCTTCATCACGGATGAGAGAGGGAGGATATCAGCTGCTGCACGAGCACCCCACCAACATATCAACAGGGAACTAAAAGCGCCATCAGGCAATACGGCGCAACGCAGGCTGACTGACTGACTGGCTTGCTGTCAGACAGACAGGCAGACAGACAGTTTTCGGCTCTGCGGCAGTTCCTCCCCCCCCCAGCAGCTCCTGTACATACATACGTACATACAATCAGCTCCAGAGTAATAAGCTGCTGGCAACCCCTTCCAGCAGGCGGGGATCACCAAGCAGCCTGCAAATAACGACGACCCGGACCTGGATGGCATGACTGTAACGCCCACTAGGGCCCCCGACCGCCACCCCAGCCATCGCATCCTTCGTAATACCTTTACTCCCCCCTAACACACACGACACACACACAAAGGTCTTTGGAAGGGGGATAATGTTCTATGGTGGGTGAATCACGGGATTCTGACATCCGCCGATCGTTTCTATAAAAGTGGTACAACAAGCGTGTTTTTCTTTCGCTTCAATCTTCAATGCTTCTTCCTAAGCCCCCACCCACGCCAGAAAATTTCCCCTTCCGAATCCCCCGGCCCCGCTGATCGTACTTTTCCGTCTATTCCTGCACACGCCCATGCTCAGCAACATCCCAGCCTTCGCCGCGGCCCATAGCTGCCGCCACCGCCCCCAGGGTCTCCATCGCCGCCGCGGCCGCCACCGTCGTCGGGTCTGCCGCTGCCGCTGCCGCTGCTGCATCAAGGTAGTACTTGGTGACTTCGTACGCAGGTACGGCAGATTCGTACTCGTCGTGCCATGCCAGAGGAAAGACTCGCCCGGTGGGTTTGAAGGAGGCGGCGTAAACACCGTGTCGGTAGCTGTGCAGCTTGGCTCCACTCACCGGGTCCGGGAAGAACCAGGTTCGGTTCCATGGGCGGTTGGGGAAGCCGATGGGGTCGGTGAAGGACCACACGCCGTCGTGCCAGACCTCGACCCAGTTGTGGTTGCCGCCCGTCCCCACCCACTCGGCGATCCCTGGACGGTGGTAACCACACCGGTACGAACGAGTTGGAACGGGTTGGGGACGGCGGTGGCAGGGTGGGTGCGAGAAGGCAAGGAAGGGAATCAACGCGAGAACTTAGAACGTTGAGGAGAGTTAAGGAGCTCTTTAGGCGGAGGGTGTAGGGACAGGAGGGCGCAAATGGACCTCTTGGAAAAGGAGGTCGTGGGTGGTGGGGAGCACACGCCATAGTATATGTGAGCTGTGTATACACACTATGACACGTATGTATGTATGTATGTATGATGGTGTGGGACAGGGGGGTCATATCTTCACCTGCGGCCGAAACCTAGCGAAACCCTACCTTCCCCGGTATTTCGGGGCACCCTCATCTAGTCACCCTAGCCGACTTCTCAGTGGATCGCTCAGGTTCCGCACCCACCACCGGCATCCAACGGAATCTGCCGGATCTACGGCGGCTCAAAACTCCGTTCCTGATCAGCCCGCAGGTGCATTTTATCCCAGGTCACCACCCTCCATCGACTAAGGGCACTTTATCTTCCACCATCGGAAGGATTTTCGACCTTGACAGGTCTCGATTCCGGTATGTATGTATGTATATATACAAGCACGCAACACCGGCGGTCAGCAGGCATTCAGCCCCAGCCCTCTGCCTCCCTCACCCCCCCTGGACCCCCGCACGGATTGCACCCCATCGCATCTGCACCCACCCACCCCCGTCTGGTCCCCCCCACCTGCCACGCGCGCCGGGATACCCACGGCACGACACGCATCCACGAAGAAGATGGCCAGTCCGGTGCAGGACGCGTAGCCGTGAGAGATCACCTGACTTGGTGACATGATATCAGGGGTTTGACCGGCCTTGAAGGTGATGTTCCAGCCGCCTAGCGACCAGATTTGGTAGTTCAGTGCAACGGCCGCGTCCAGAGTGGAGATGGTGCCGGACACCAGCGGCGCAAATTTTTCGTAGAAGCTTGTGCGCCAGTCCTCGCGTGGTTCGTCCAGATTGGCGTAGGGCTATCGGCCCCGGAAATGTTCCAGAAGGAGATGTGGGAGGTGGTGTAAAGTAATTGGCGATATGGTTGGGAGTCGTGTCGTGGTTTCGGAGGATAAGGGTGGTTAGCGTGGCCCTGGCGGCGCAAAGCGTCGATCAGTGCTTGAAGCCCTAATGCGCAGTTTCTAGCGGTCAAAATGTGTCAGCATACAAGGCGGGTAGGTTCAGAAGCGACCCGGTGCCAACTTTCCGGCCCAACCGCCGGCACGTGACTCCCCGCTTCAGCGCAGACCTTCCGACATCACCAAGTAAAAAATGCCACTCAAAATACGTAGTAGGAGTTTATGCCACAAATTACGTTGGACCCACCAGGACGTTGTTTAAGAAAATGTCCCATGGCACGGCCGATGCCCAGCTGTTGTCTGCACGTGCTTTCAGAGCAAGGTGCACTTGTTTATGAAGGAACGTGTACCGGAGAGCCATATGGTCGGTTGCAGGCATGTTCCCGATGAGGAAGCGAAGGCATTCCTGCTCCGCATGGGACGGCTCCTCCCCGACACCGACATCAGGGGAAATTACAAAATGTTCACGGTCGTGGTTATTGATTGGCTCCTTGTCTTCGAGGAAACGGCGAGCGGCCAAGCTGCTCACAAGCACCGAAACAAGGCAGGCAACTTGAAGCAAAACCTTTGCACGCATCTTGCTATACAAGTGCAAGCGTTCATCAGCATCAACTCGGAGAATGAACTCTTATCATCTGAGTTCGGATATGAAAATGCATTAGGCTTCGTGGTTTTCCGCGCACCGGCAGTTGCCGTATATTTTTAGACAACGGTCGTGGGCATAACATCTGTATGTTGTGGCTCCGCTGTAAGAATTGATCTCTGATATCTGTAAGAATTGTTTCATGATATTGTCATTCATCCCTTGATGCTCTCGTCTTATGTTTCATCTCGATACCTTATACTGAGTTTACATGCTACGTTACGTTAGCCAGTTTACATGCTACGTTACGTTACAAAAACGTTTTGGGAAAAGTGGGCCTGAAGAAGTCACCCAGTTCACATGGCACGTATACGACAACGTTATATTCGTTGGCGCGAACTGCGTAAGCCAACTCTATCCTACGACTTTCCATGTCCAGATCTCCAGCATATCCCCTTAGAGAGTCCCAGTATGTAACTGAATGGTTATCGGCGGCCCTGCCTTATGCAATATACTGGGACTCTGTAAGAGGATCTGCTGAAGTTCTGGCCAGGGGGGGCCGCCAAGGGCGCGTGAGCAGGCGCCCTAATGGGCAGGTCAATGCCTGAAGGGGCGCCGTAGTCAATGCGTACGGTGCTGTACGGCGCTGTTTTCCGTGTGTGTTCGGGCTGTGGCACCAGACCGCAAAGCCAACAGGCCTAAGGCTGGCAAGCTGCGATTGTGTCTGCTGAGCGTTGAGCACCCGGCCTGGACCGCGGACTTGGCGGCTGAGCCCCTGCTGTGTGCCGGTAACGGCACCTCAGACTCATACGTTTACGCCCAAGCAAGGGGCTGTCGGTGGCAGGTCGTGGACCTCCCGACTACGTGTAACGGCCAATGACTCTTAGCCGTGTCTGCTAGGTTCCAGAGAGACACCGTCTCTTCAACAGGTTATGAGCCCCGGCTTCCTGCCTCCCGCGCTCTGACAAGCATACCTCCCACAGCATGAGCACTGCTGCAACAAGCACAGCTCCCACCACGTTTACACTACCCATCAATTGTCACACGTGCCGCCCTAGCTACCGGCCTGTACGGATGCAGGGGGCCCCGCCCTTTTTCCGGCTTCGAGCAGCCGGAACCCGACTTGTCCCAAAAAGCTGTCGTAACCTAACGTAGCATGTAAACTGGCTATTAGTGTCCTGCCTATTGCTGTCCCTAATTCCTCCAGACGCGATATTAGTAAACTGGCGGCTTGCACCGCTGCTGCTGTAATGACGCTTGGCGGTCGCGATGGCCAGCAGCTCAGCTTCCGAATCATATACCAAGGTGGAGTGCCTTGAGCCCCAGTGCCTACCCGCCGACAAAAGGTTCTGGTTGACACTCTGTGGTACCTCTTGAGCAATATTTGAAGGCTGCCCTGCCTGCTGGACACAATTGCACCTGCCTGTCTGAATTCATATGCACTTACAGCTTTTTTGTATCCCATTCAGTGTTTTTTTTTTCGTGGAGGCCGATCCTGAATCTGTTACGAGTTCCGTAATAAATATGCCATCAGTCCAATACGTTTATTACTGCCAGAATTTTTTTTCTGGGGGGGCAAGCCCCCCCAGACCCCCCCTGCCCACACAGGGTACCTGATACACCAGCACATATTTAATACATATTTCATTAGAGTCTCAGCTGTTTCCGTCCGTTGCCACATGCGTTCAGGATTATGTCATACGTTTTCACCACGACACCACAGCCAGTACAATGCCCCAGGGCATAGCAAACTCGTCAGTTGTGCATGTAACGGCCACGCTTCTCAGCCCTCTGCAGCCACTTCTCCACCGCCTTGTCATACGGGAAGGACGAGCGGGTGTAGAAGTCTGCCGCTGTGGCCGGGACCGGCTTAGGACGGGGTCGCTGCTGCCGCTGTTCCTGCCGCTGTTCCTCCCTCATTCGCTGGTCGAGCAGCTCAAGGCGCTGCCGCTTCAGAGGGCTTGCAACGATCTCAACAGATTGCTGAGATGTGTCATCTGGTTCTAATGTCTCTCTTGTACTCGCTATATTGTTTGAAGTGTTACCAGCATCGCCGCTATTGGGTTTTGGCCTGCCGGTGGTCAGGAATGCTTTGACGCTACCCTGACCAGCTATAGTAGTTAATTTCTTGGGCCCCATCGCTCATTTATAACTTATTTATACTAAAATTTCTGGGGCCCGCCCCGGCTCCGTAACGACCGTACCAGGCCTTTACCATTGTCTATGACGGAGCGCAGAACGCAAATATACCATTTTATTACGGAACCGTAATATATTACGGAAAAAAAATACACTGATCCCATTCATATCTCCACGAAGGCCTCGCAATCAGCACTACCCAGTGCCCCTTCGGACTACCAATCCAAGCTGCTGCTGCTGCTAGCTCGTACGAATTTCAACTAAGCCAGGGGGGCTGCGGCGGGCACAAGCGATGGACGCGTGACCACAGAGGGTGCTGGCGAGGGGAGCGCCGCCTAGAGTGCTATGAGTCGTGAGGCTAAAGACATCAGGGTCTTGCTTTGGAACGTGTGGGGTTTGTCGGTAGCTAAGCTCACCGACCCATCTTTCCTCCGCGTTGCCCAGGACCACGATGTGCTAGTATTTACGGAAACACACTGTTCGGCGCAGGCCGGGAAGCCGGCCAAGGCCCTGGCCCTGCCAGGGTTTCAACTGCATGTAGCTGAGCGAGCCTGTAGAGGCGGAGCCGGGCCCCAGACGGGCCGGCTGCACGGGGGTGTGTCTGTTTATATCCGGGACGCGATTGCCCGGGATGTCACTTTGTTGAGGGTTGACACGGATATTGCGGGCTGCGAGTCTATTTGGTTGCGTTTGGGCGGCAAGCAAACAGGTCAGGATAGCACCCTGGTGGGTGCATGCTACGTCTCCCCCAGGGCGTCGGTAGTACACCACGCGTCCCTGAGGGCACACGAGTCTGACGGACAAGCAGCAGACGAAGTGTTTGATCATCTGGCCACCGTCGTGGGCGCCCTCCGCCAGTCGGGTGAGAGGATCCTGCTTCTGGGGGATTGGAACGCGCGCATGGGGGGGCTGCCCAACCACCTCTCCGACATCCCGGACCTAGACTATCTTGACGATTTAGGAGAGGAGGTCGGGTGCCCTTTTGTGGACGGCGAGGCATACAGAGCACTGCTGGGTGTGCCCCGCCGGTCGCTAGATCAGGAGCATAATGCGTTTGGACGTAAACTGCTCGAGTTGTGCCGGGTTTCAGAGGTTGTCATTCTCAATGGGCGGGCACCGGGTGACACTGAGGGCAGGCTCACATACGAGTCCAGCCGGGGGGGAGGCAGCATGATTGACCTTGTGCTTGCGTCCCCTTCTTTGTACCCGTGCGTGCGTTCCTTCCGTGTCCTGCCACAGCA